AAAAGCTTTGAAGGAATGACTGCTCTTATGCTTGCTGCTAATGAGAGACAATTCCAAGTTATTGCTTTTTTACTTGAGAAAAATCCAGACATGAATGTTCAAGGTAATAATGGAATGACCGCTTTGATCAATGCTTCATCTAAAGGATATCATGAGATTGTTGAACTTTTGCTGAGTAAAAATCCAGATATTAACATTCAAAATAATGAAGGATGGAATGCTTTGATGTTTGCTAGTAGCCAAGGTCATCACCAGGTCGTTGAGCTCTTACTAAGTAAAAATCCAAATATTATTTATGCTCAAGCTAATAATGGATACACTGCTTTAATGCTTGCTAGTGGCATCGGGCATCACCAAGTTGTTGAAGTCTTACTAAGCAAAGGTGACAATATTATTAACATTCAAGATAACAATGGGTGGACTGCTTTGATGTTTGCTAATTCAAATGGTCATCACCAAATTGTCAAAATCTTACTGGGTAAAGATCCAGATATTAATATTCAAATAATGTAGGACATACAGTTCTGATAGCTGCTAGTGCCAATGGAAATCACCAGGTTGTTGAGCTCTTGCTACATAAAAATCCAGATATCAATATGCAAGCTAATGATGGATTAACTGCTTTAATGTTTGCTAGTTGCAATGGTCATCATCAGGTTGTTGAACTATTACTAAGTAAAGATCCAGATATAAACATTCAAAATAATGATGGCCAGACGGCTTTGATGGGTGCTACACTAATTGGAAATTACCAGGTTGTTGAGCTATTATTAGATAACAATCCAGATATAAACATTCAAGATAATAGTGGATTGACCGCTTTGATGGCTGCTAGTAGCAGTGGACATCACCATGTTGTTGAACTCTTACTGAGTAAAGATCCAGATATTAATATTCAAAATAAAAATGGAGTGACTGCTTTGATGTTTGCTAGTAGCACTGGTTTTGACCAGGTTGTTAGAGTCTTACTAAGTAAAAATCCAAATATTAACATCCAAGATAATACGGGATGGACTGCTTTGATGTTTGGTGTTGCTGATGGTCATTACCAGGTTGTTAAACTCTTACTGAGTAAAAATCCTAATATTAACATTCAAAACAATGAGGGAATGACTGCTTTGATATTTGCTTGTAGTAATGGTCATCACCAGGTTGTTGAACTTTTACTCAGTAAAGATTCAAATATTGACATTCAGCACAAAGATGGATGGACTGCTTTGATATTTGCTAGTAGTAATGGTTACCTTGACATCGTTGAAACCTTATTGAATAAAGATCCAGATATTAACATTCAAACTAACAATGGAGAAACTGCTTTGATTGCTGCAAGTTGTAATGGTCACCGTGACATTGTTGAGGTCTTATTATTTAGAGATGTGGATATTAACATTCAAAATAATGATGGATGGACTGCTTTGATGTTTTGTATCGCCAATGAACATTACCATGTTGTCGAAGTCTTACTACGTAAAGATCCAGATATGAACATTCGAAATAATCATGGAATAACTACTTTGATGCTTGCTTGTAGCAAAGGTCATCACCAGGTTGTTGAACTATTACTGACTAAAGATCAAGATATTAACATTAAAACTAATCATGGTTCAAGTGCTTTGATGACTGCTAGTTGTGATGGTCATCACCAGGTTGTTGAACTTTTACTCAATAAAGATCCTAATATTAATATTCAAGATAATGATGGGTGGACTGCTTTGATAGCTGCCAGTGCCAATGGACATCACCAGGTTGTTGAACTCTTACTGAGCAAAAATCCAGATATTGACATTCAAAATAAAAATGGAATGACTGCTTTGATGTTTGCTAGTAGCAATGGACATCATCAGGTTGTTGAACTATTGCTTAACAGAGATCCTGATGTTAACATTCAAAATATTTATGGTGGCGCTTCCTTGATGCTTGCTAGTATCTTTGATCATCACCATGTGGTTGAACTTTTACTGCATAAAAATCCAGATATTAACACTCAAGATGATAATGGATGGACTGCTCTGATAGCTGCTAGTACTTATGGCCATCACCGGATCGTTGAACTATTACTGAGTAAAGACCCAGATATCGATATTCAAAACAAAGATGGAATCACTGCTTTGATGGCTGCTTGTAGCTATGGTCATCACCAGGTTGTTGAACTATTACTGAGTAAAGGTACAAATATTGACATTCAAAATAACATTGGCCTCAATGCATTTACTTTTTGCCTATTTTGCTCTATGTTTTTCACAAGTGATGATGCACAGCATCAATTGCAATCAGGTAATTATGCTAAAACATTTGAACTTTTGATAAACTCTCCTCAATTCAATCATATTCACAGTATTGATAATGTGAAGCTTCATTCATTAGCGGTGGCAGCAATATACAATAGCTTTGATGCAGTTGCAATTTTAATGAAGAACTGTGACCTTACACCTGAAAATATCATCAGTGCTTTTACCAGAGCATGTTATGAAGGTCATTCTTCAATGATGCTTCACCTGTCCGAGAAAATAACCACTCTTTCAGTTCATGAGAGAAAATTATTAGTAGCAGCTGCTGAAGGAGATTTAGGAACATTAATTAGTATGATTTATGAAGCTGGTATGAGTTTAGATACTCCACTGGTAGCTGGTATAACTCCATTAATGATAGCAGCTTCAAGTGGACATGCTGAATTAGTTGAGGCATTAATAGAAGCTGGAGCTGATGTTAACAAAATGGATGATGAAGGACTTAATGCATTGGAGATAGTGAATGATATTGAGAAGATGTTATAATGATCGAACTGTTATTAAAGAGCTGCTAATTACCAATACTCAAGCTAGTGAACCAGATCCAGTACCAAATAAGAAACCAAACCTATACCGCAATAAGTCATTGTATGACAAATTCAAGTCATTCATAAAGAAAGCTTGTGATCCATATGGTGCAAAGCAAAAAGAAATGAAAATAACTAATGAAGTACCTGATCCATATAACCGTTCAAAGCAAAAGATAGCTTATAAAGTACCTAGTGCACTTTACTCAGCATTTACAAGTAATAAAATGGCACAGATTGTGTTCTAAACCAACCGTGGCTTCATTATTAACTATTAATTATTGTGTTTGTTAATTAAGCTTTTACACGATAGACTATGTCCGTGTATTAATTTGAGTGACATTATTATTTAGATTGCTATCATTGTGCTTTTATATATAGATCTAGTTTATTTTTATTATTGAGTAGTGTTTTGAATAACTATTATCATTTTAGTATTTTTTTCTATATCTCTTTTCTTTTTCTGATTTGTGCTTATCTTTATATCTTGGTTTGATTTTATGGTAATCTCATCTATGGATAGATTAATACTGTCTGGTAACTTAAACTTCCATATACCGGTACATTGATTCTATACAACTTCAAGTATGTGTGGACTATAAATTGATTAGATTTAGTATGCTAAGAGCAGTCAAATGTTAGATTTTACCATTCATTGGGCCTTTGCATGGTAAAACTCGCCATGATATTTTAATTGCTAATGCCAAAGTTATCTGTAGATCCACATGCTTTGAGAGACTCATAAAGATTTATACCATAAGCAAAAGGTAAACGACTCCTTTATCAGAGAAGGCTTCTCTTCTCTCCCATCTCTGTGTAACATGCACAGTATGATTCAAGGGCTCAGATCTAGACTAATTCAATTGACTAATTCCATCTACATTTACATTTTATGTATTATGTGTTTAATGAACATAATACATAAAATGTAAGTGTTGTTTATATTGTGTGCAATTGTGTGTCTGTGCCGGTTTTATGTTGCATTTAAGTCTCTCCTAATCTTTCTGGTACCTTCAATATTTATCATGACCATAGATATTTAGCAGTCTAATATCTATGTCATGACACTGCAAAGCTAAAACTATAATAAATAAAAATATTCTTGCCATAGGTTTTCATTTATTTCCAGACTGGATTGATCAATTTAAGACCAATAGGCAATAGATGACCTCATTATTGAAGGTGTA